ATCTTGCTGGGATCCTATGACCCCAGCTGACTTCCTGCCCTTTGGGCGGGGGGCTGGACTCGATGATCTTCCGAGGTCCCTTCCAGCCCTGATGTCTATGAAATCTATGAAATCTATGAAATTTATATTAGAAGACAGCCTCAACCCTGTGGCATAAAATAGGCTGTGGGCACCTAGGAATCACAGGGATCATGCAAAGACTTCATAGCCAAGGGTACATTAGACATGCCTATGGCACACAACTGGAGTAACCAAGACCAATGTCAGTCCATAGGCTGCTGGGCTGGGGAACAGCTGACACAGCAGATCAACAAAGAAATACTGGGGAAATCTGCAACAAAATGGGATGCAGAACTGGGGAGGAAAAGAGGTTTTTGGGGCTTGTTACTCCTTGGGCTGTTGCTGGCCAAGTCTGTCATTAGTTGCCACAGAAAGAGTCAGCTAGCCATGCCACATCTGTGTGCTTTGGTGGGAACTCAAGGTAGGACAGGGAAGGATGGAAGCAACCAGGCTGGAGGATAAGTACTGACCTGTAGCAACACCCCTGATGTGTATCCACAAGGCAGCCTGCTGGTCTATCATGGACTTCGCACTGTAGGGTGAAAGTGGGCATAGGGAGAGAAAGGATCACTGAGGGCCAAAGAAAGGGAATGAATGAAGGAACCAGAGCCTCAAGCAGCAGGTGCGGGCAGGGCTGTGAACACTGCTAAGAAATGGGTGCATGGGTTGATGCTGAGTTTGTTTTTTTTCATGTCAAGTGAACTGCTAAATGTCAGGTAGCCTGCCCCCTCTGACCTTGGGGCCAGCTAGCCCTACTTACTTAAAGCAAGGGTGTCAAACTCATCTCAGGCCCTGGGCCACATCCAGATCTCAGGGGCTGCTCCTGGGCCAGGTCTGTGGGGCCACATTTTGGTAGCAGTGTGGGTCTGGGACCAGGTGGCTGTACAGAGCCACATGTGGATAATGTGAAGTTGGGGTCCTGAGTTGACAAGGAGCCAGGCGTGTGTGGCTGTGCAGAATTCTGAATGGGCAGTGGCACAGAGCCAGGGACGTGTGGCTACACAGAGCTATGTTCGGGAAGTGGCACAGAGCTAGGGGGATGCTGCCAATAGTCATGTCCATTGGGGTCTCAGGACCCCATATTCTGCTCTGCTGAACTTCCAAAAGCCCACCAGACTACTATTGAGCCAGATGGAATGGTTCCATGGGCTGGCACTGGCCCACAAGCTGTATGTTTGACATCCCTAACTTAGAGCCAGCTAGGAAGGGAGCAAATGGCTCCACCTTGTAGGCAATGGACTCTGGCAGCAGGGTTAGGGGTGGCCCACAACCTTCTCCATAGAACATAGCTTCTCCATAAGGACAAATACAAGGTGCTGAAGAAGGAATCACCAGCATGCTTACAGGCTGGGGGAGGACCGTCTCAGCAGCAGAAAGCAATCTTGGAGTCACTGTTGACTCCAAGAGGAACATGAGTCGTCACTGTGATAAAGTGATCAGTAAGACTAACCGCACTTTATCATGCATTAGCAGGTACATGACAAACAGACCCAAGGAGGTGATACTTCCCCTTTATGCAGCATTGGTCAGGCCACAGTTGGGGTACTGCATCCAGTTTTGGGCACCACACTTCAAAAGGGATGTGGACAACCTTGAGAGGGTTCAGAAGAGGGCTACTCGTATGGTCAGGGGCCTGCAGGCAAAGCCCTATGAGGAGAGATTGAGGGCCCTGGATCTCTTCAGGCTCCTCAAGAGAAGGCTGAGAGGTGATCTTGTGGCCACCTACAAATACATCAGGGTGGGACAGCAAGGAATAGGAGATGCTCTGTTTACCAGGGCACCCCTCGGAGTAACTAGGAACAACGGCCGCAAACTGACGGAGAGTAGATTTAGGTTAGACTTCAGGAAGAACCTCTTTACGGTAAGGGTTGCCAGAATCTGGAATGGGCTTTTAAGGGAGGTGGTTCTCTCCCCTGCCTTGGAGGTCTTTAAGAGGAGGTTAGACATGCATCTGGCTGGAGTTCTCTGACCCCAGCACTGTTTCCTGCCCAGGGCAGGGGCTTGGATTTGATGATCTATTAAGGTCCCTTCCGACCCAAACTTCTATGAATCTATGACACTATGCCCACCCTTCATGATGAATGTAACTGGGCCCTGGTAGAAACTTTGGGCATATAGCAGAGTCCTTGCAGCCTGGTGCAACAGGCCAGCAGAAGCAGCGTTTCTGCTGTAGAAGGAACCCCTGCCCCAGGCCAGCACTCTGAGGGAATGTGCATACTGCTGTCACTGCTGGGACAGTTCCTCGGGTGAACACACCTGAGCTGGCCTTGAATTGGTAAGCTGGGCATTCCAGTACAACAGAAATGCTCAGGCTCCCAGTCAGCAGGACCCGAGCCAGCTGGTTCAGAGCTGGCTCAAAAATGACCACAGGAGCCAGCAGTCAAATGTAAACATACCCTCAGTTCACCCTGTTCCCAGGTCAGTTACAGGAAGTGTCCCGTATGCTCCCACTGACAAATTACAGCGCTAAGGGAGCAGGCAGCATTATCTCTATCTCTGTTGTATAGATGCAGATGGAGAAAGAGATTGTGACCAAGATTCTCACTGTCCACTAACTGCCATACTGGAGACTCTTTTGCCATCCATGGGAGTCACATCATGAAATCCCTCCAGAAATGAACCCCCACGTGTCCCAAATTTTCTATTAATCCCCAAATTAATCTATTAATTTCTGGGCTATGTGGCTTGCTCAAGGTCACAGAGCAACTCAGTGACAGAGCTTGGACTAGAACTGGGGTCTACTCAGCTTCTTGTCTCCTTCCTTAGTCACTCAGCTGACTTGGCTCCCTGTCCCACACTCTTGGTAACCAGGGTCTACCTACAACAGGGACGTGTCAGCCTGAGGGGAGCTTATCTGTCTGGTAGAGTCAGTGATTCTCACTCATTCAACAGTCAGTCGTAGAGCCCCAGGTGTCAATAGACATTACAGCAACCCCTGCTGTGTGACTGGTATCTGCCCTGCCACTGAAACTGGAATTTAATAGCTTTGCAATGGTTAATTCCAAGATGACACCATTCCCTTTCAGGCCTGTCTAATCTCTCTCCCATGTGTCTGCTCCATTTCCAAGGAACAGTCAGGGAGGAATTCTAAACACAGCCCCTTTCTTTCCCTGGAAAGACAGCCCAAGGCTTGGTACCAGGAGGCTGGAGCATGCTATGGTCCAAAAACTGATAGCTGCAGTGAGCTCTCTGACTCCCAAACATGGCTTCAGTTTCACTGAGGAAATCTCATCCTAGCAGATGGGCTTACTCTGAAGCCACTGGATTTTTACAGAAGAGAAGTGATTTCCCCAAGGCATCATGGAAAGATCCCATCCGTGCCGTCTCAGATGACTGTAAGTTTTGAGCAGGAACATGTGGTCTCTCAGGTAGGGAGGTAATATTAATTCCCAGGAAACCAAAAGTTTTCCCTTGGGACTGCCTCACATTCTGGACTCTAAGCTATACAGCAAGAGGTTCCCCCAGGCCTTTTATAGAAGTCACCAGGCGTGGCAGAATCTTAAAAGATAATATGGAACAGGAGAGAATGCAAGAGAACTCACCTGTGCTGAGGCAGGCAGGTGTTGAAGGGTCAGGGAAACATTTACAAAAGCTCAGAGGCCCATGCTCAGCTCTGCTGCATGTTTCAGGAGCAGTGGGAGTGCCTGTCCTCAGTGAGGGGCAGATGAAATACTGGGTCCATTCCTACAAATAAAGCAAAAGGACCTGCTGGTGCGGGATCAGTCTTGCCTCTATCAAGCACTGCAGTGCTGAGAGGCAGGGCTGAGCAACCACAGGCACCAGTGAAGACTCAGAAATGCAGCTTGGGGTTGGGAGCAGCATGAAAAAACCCAGGTTGTGATGAACACAGCAACCTGAGATGTCCTCTCAGTTTAGATGATAGAATATTTCAGCGTCAGGGGACAAGCATGTAATTATGTCAACTGAGCTGATATGACAGGGTTCATGGGGGCAGCGTACTACCATTCTCATTTATGCTGTTCCCAGCAGGAGCCAATCTCCAGGAAGAAACTTCCCCCAAGGAGGATTGCAGTCCTTGGTCCAGTCATTGCTCAATCTAAGACCCAAGGTAGACCCATCCCAGAGGGTTTTAACTTGTGAGCAAGGACACAGGGTCCCTCACTGATGACAAAGGGCTTTGTACCCTGATAGTACTACATCTCACTTCCATGTATTCACACAAACTGGCCTGGCCTGACCTGGGCTAAAGACAGTCAGCAAGTTGTTCACTAGGCAAGCACTTTGGTATGATCATCACTGTATGCAGATGCACAGCATTAATGATGGTGAAAGGAGACACCTGGAAGGTGGCATGTTGAAGCACAGGATAAGTAGAGATTGGGATCCATGCAGGAGGCATTGTAAGCCACAGGCAACTCCTCCTATCCCACCTGAGGGAGGATGGAAAGAGCAGGGTGAACAAATGTGCGGAGATGACCCAGTAATCAGGCACTAAGTAAACAGAGAGCAACAGGGTGAATCTTCTCTTCAACCTCGCTTTCCGAGATGTGGGTGTGTTGCTCTGTGTCCTTGCAACAATGGAAGAGATGACATCTTGGCTCCCTTGACAAAATTCTTGATGTGGGTGTTTTCTTTAAAGCCCATATAGAAAGATTGCAGAGGTGAAAGGGCATTTGGCTTTTCTCAAGAGTCTCTGGTCAATATTTAATCTGATATGGATTATTTTCTGTCTTCCAGGTAATTTCTCCTCCCCTTCACTCCCCCCACCCCCCCCACACACACACACACCCACTCAATGCTAGCATACAAGGGGCAAGGAGGAGCTCAGACTCAGATGACAAGAGAGAAGTCCAGACCACTGAGCTGCTCTCCACGGCATGGGAAGATAGAAAGACGAGAAAGGCGCTTGATGTGAAGAGCAAGGAAGCCAGCAATACCAGGAAGGAGCACTCAGACAGCGAGGCAGCAAGTGACTGAAAATGGTCTCAGTTGGGCTGCAGCTCATGGGTTACACCCTGGCGTTACTAGGGACAATAGGCACCTTGACAGCCACACTCATGCCCAACTGGAAGAACAGCTCCTATATCGGCTCTAGCATCGTGACAGCGGTGGGCTTCACCAGGGGGCTTTGGATGGAGTGTGCCATCCAAAGCACTGGTATCACCCAATGTGATATCTACAATTCCCTACTGGACCTGCCTTCTGACCTCCGGGCTGCCCAGGCTATGATGGCGACCTCTGCTGCTGTTTCTACCCTGGCCTGCATCATCAGTGTGGTAGGGATGAGATGCACCATCTTTGCTCAGGGCTCCCCAGCCAAGGACAGGGTGGCAGTGATAGGTGGGGTAATCTTTGTCCTGGGGGGACTACTGTGTTTCATCCCTGTTGTGTGGAATATCCATGTGGTGCTGCGTGATTTCTACAATCCCATGATCCCTGACAGCATGAAGTATGAGATCGGGGAGGCATTGTACCTGGGCATCATGTCCGCCTTGGTCTCCCTCATTGGTGGCTTCATACTCTGCGCCTCCTGCCCACCCCGGAACCAGCAACTGGACTTTCAAAGCATCTACCAATCCAGACCCCTAGCTGCCAAGAGCCCCCGGCCCTCCATCAGCCATACACTAAAGAGCCCCCGGCCCTCCATCAGCCATACACTAAAGAGCCCCCGGCCCTCCATCAGCCATACACTAAAGAGCCACCGGCCCTCCATCAGCCACACACTAAAGACTAATAAGAGTGAGTTCAACTCCTACAACCTGACAGGGTACGTCTAGGCACAGCAAGGCCCAGTCAATTCCCCCACATCAAGTCCAACGCTATCCTAGCAGCTGGCTGGGACCTCTACTGCTTTGGGGGCTACCTGGACTGAACTGTGGCAGGCGAGGGGATGCCTTGCCTCTCAAGCTTCTCATGGACACCTTCTCATTTAAATCCTGATGTTCTCTGAGGCTCCTGCATGGGACTTACGGCTTCTTGGGAGACCAGTCATTGGTCCCACACACAGACTAGTCTGGCTTGGGCCCACATAGCCCTGTTGCATGAGATGGGTTTCCTTGAGCTGCCAGTGGTGAGTACAGCCCAAACCCAACAGCCTCAAAAGACTAATCTCCCTTGGGAACTCCACTCTGCCTCCCGAGCCTTGCTACTAGGAAGAGCAGCCTCCAGGATGGCCAGCCCCACCAAGCCAGCCAATATCATGGAGGACAGACCTGGCAGGGAACTGACTGGCAGCTGGTGGGGCAATCCCAGATGCTGTGAGAGCTCACTGAACTGAGAGTACTGGAAACAGGACATGGGAGGGTGTTTCCAACCTCCTGAGACTGGAGGAGGACTGTGGCAGTTGTGAAAGAACAGGGGCTAGAGGAGCTTTTGAGCAGGGTGGTAATGGTGGGGCTCACTTTTTGGGACACAGGGTGAAGCATTTGCAGTGTCACGGTGGTTTGACAGAGGAGGCAGCTCTCTGGGAGCAGCCTGGGTGCTGAATCCTGCTGTGGGTCAAAAGTGATGAGCTGCTGATTTCAGACAGCATTGCAATAAATCTGAGCATTCACTATTGTGCTGTGCCTGAGCTTTCTTCCCACAGTGAAAGGCCTTTCCACTTAGTCCCAAGCCCACCCTGGGCCATCCTGTGCCCCTTACACCTGCCTGTCAGCTGCCAAGCCCCAGGGCAGGCTCACAGTCATATTTCAAAGGCATGGGGAACCCGCTGTGAGACCCTACCACATTAAAGTGCCTGGCTTTGAGAGCCAAATCCTTACGGGGTCAGGACTCCAGGTCCCCTTCCTGATGGATAGAGAACAAAAATCCCTAAGAGAATGATGGCAGCTCAATCACAGACTAATCCTGGTCCCACTCAAACCACTATGCTCCTGATTCAAGAGCAACACACTGTAATCCTCTCCCAGGGTCCTCGGGCCAGAGTGACCAGAGCCCAGACAAACAAGCCTGCATTAAGCTTTCATCTAGGCTGCTCAGTTGCCTGTACCCATATCCTAGCTGCTTCCTTGGGAAGCTCACCCAAGCTGAAGCCTGTGCTGGTGTGGGCAGTCCCAGAGCTGGCTGGAGGTACAAACGTATACATGCATAGAGGCCTCCTGATGAAGATGTACAGGAGGAGCAGAAGGCAGCAGGATCCAGTGGGCATGGTATGGGCCGGGGAGCTAGGAGCAGCAGAGCTTGAGCACAGCTCCGCCACTGACCTATTTGAATGACCTCAAGTCAATCACTTCTTCCTGTGCCTCAGTTATGCTGTCTCTACAATGAGGCTAATGCTCTTCATGCAAAGTGCCCTGAGATCCTAGAGTAACATGGACTTTTTACAGACATTGGGTGTGATAACTGAGGTCCCTGGGATTCCTACATTCTTAGCAAGAGATTCTCCCAATTCCCCAGCCCACAGGTGCAGAGAGTCCTGTGTGAGGGTGAGGACAGAGGCATCCTTGTCTTGCAGGGACTCTTTCTGGATGGACTGGTCAGCCCCACAGGCCTCCCTTTCAGGTCTGAGCAGCACTGGAAGGCATTAGCTATAATCCCACACTGAGCAAGTCCCTGTGGAGATGAAGGCCATAGTGGCTGAGCCAGGCATGCTGAAAGGGCAGCGTGACTCCAAGCTGCTGCAGCATGCAATGGCAGTAAATGCCCTGTCTCCCAAGCTAAGTTGGAGGTGTGCTCCTGGATTCCCCTCACACAGTGAAATGCCCCCTGGCACCTTCCATGCTCTGACTCTGCTATCACTTTTCCTGGGCTGTTTCCCAGGCCCACTGGATACAAAAAGCATGTGCAGCTTTCTCCAGCACAGGACCTGGGCCTCACATGGTGGCAGCTGAGTTAGTTGCCTTCTGCTCTCATTGTCCTGTGGAGGCAAAAAGGCTCTCACAGTGAGACGTTCCCCATGGGCTCTTGCTGCTGCAGGGAGAGGTGGTTGTCCACCAATGGCAGCCTAATTGGGAGGCAGGACCACAAACTGCGGCATGCTTTGCTTGGAGCTAAACCTTCCCCAGCTCGTACTGGAAGCCAAATCAGACAGCGCTGAGGTGACAAAGGTGCCCACCATCACAGTGAGCATGATAAAGAGATTCCCTCTCAGGGGGCTGGAGGAGACATTCCCAGAAAGACAAGCTGACACACCAGCCCTGCCCACTGACACAAACCCAATTGGCCACTGGGTCCATCCCCAAAGCAATTCCTGCTGCATCCTCCTCCTCCTGGGATGTCCTAGAGCAAGGCCTGACTCTCCTATCCCAGGTCAAACACACAGGCCCTTCTGCAGAGTGGGATAGCAATTACCTGGCTGTGCCCAGCTCTAGGTGTCTCATATGTTTCAGTTTCTCTCTCCATGCTGTGACATTGCACCCACTTGCGTAGGCACCTGTGTATGCTGATTTGTGTCACCTACTCTGGCCTGTGGCTTGTTCTGTGCCATTGTCAATTACAGTGCTGCTCCCTAAGCCTGCTTCTCCCAAACTGGAGCAACTTGCAGCAATGGGGAGGAGATAGGTGGGAGAGAACAAGCAGGCTGACAGACCCCTGCAGCAATCTGCATCCCAAGATGCTCTGGTATCAGGGAGAGAGCATTACACACTGTGAGCAGCCTTGGGTGCTCTCCCCATAGCTTAAGGGACCCAGCTCCCCTCCTTTGCTGAAGGTAAGATGAATCACCCCGCTGCTCTCTGGCTTGGACAAGCCCTGCTCTCCTGGAACAACATTCTCCTTGGTTCTTGCAGACTAGTCTTCTCCGGATAGGAACGGTCTCTTGTCATGTGCCGCCATTGTGCAATGAGGTTCGAATTTTGGCTGGAGCCTCTCCATGCTGAGGCACTGCACTCAAGACATGGCACAGCGCTGTGGGGGCTCCTTGCATGGATAGGATGAAGCAGAGGCCTGATGTATTTTTTCCTTCCCTCTCAAGTGACAAGTCTTTGGGTGTTCTGAGCCCCAGCATTTCACTGTGCTCATTTCAGCACTCCCTCCTTCCCCAGATGGAACAAGGGGAGACCACCCCAAGTCACCAGCCAGGCCCACTCACCACAGCCCAGGCCAATGGAGGAGGGCTTCCTGAATGTGGTTAAACATCACAGCACTGCTGTTCATTCCTGGCATTTCTGTATTCCCAGGCCTGGGAAGATCCCAATCCCTCCACCGGGGGCGGGGAGGGGCACAGACATGGGCCATGATCTCATTACCCTACACCTGTCATCTTAAAACCCAAGTGCCTGGGAGGTGGCCTTTCTTTTTCCCATTTTACACATGGAAAAACAATACTTAATTCCATCGTCCTCAGAGCCAGCAAGATGTCCCTGGGGCTTGTTTGAAACTCCAGAGTCTCTGGCTCCCAGTCCTGTGCTCCAGCCCTGACACTGTAACCCTCCATCTTGGGCATTCACAACCCGATCACGGTCAGTGATTAAATGTTTTCCTCACGCACTTCCTGCCCTACAGCATGCTCTGTACTACAGGGGCTGCTTTCTTTTGCTGTCCCAATGTGGCACCATGGTCCCATTGCTCTGGGTCCTGGGAAACAGGATAAGAGTGCCTCCACATTGCAAGCTGTTGAGGGACATGGAGCTGGGCACAGCCACCCACAGGAGGAGGTCAGAGATGAAGGATCTTGCTGACGTGCATGTGCTGACTCTGCTGGGTTTTATTAGAGACATCAATCAAAAAGTGAGGAATAAAATAATTAAGCCTGGCAGCATGGGTCCTGGCTGGACCTGTCTCATGGCAGCAGCAGGACTGGCTGCAAAGAGCTCCTTTCAAAGAAGCAGCCAGTCCCTAAGGTGGAAGATGCCCAAGGATAAATGAAACTCAGGTGGCAGCTGTGGTGAGGTCTCTGTTGCAGCATTTTTCATCCAAGCCACAGCTGACTGGGAATTTCTAGTGAAACTATTTTACGATTTTTCACATTGCAAAGCACCAGGGGGTTGGCATGGATCTGTGCTGGAAATCCTCCTGGGGGGGTGAGGTGGGGGCAGCAGAGGAAGAGGGATGGCCACAGTGCTCCATAATTGCCATTAGCCCAGCTGTGAGGGTGCTCCCATGAGGCTAGGGAGATGCAGGTCCAAGTGTCTGTTGTGAAAAACTTAGTGGACATCTCAGACTTAACAGGACAGAATGGGACTGAGCAGGGACCTGCTCTAAGAATCAGGGTTGGAAACAGCTTGTGTGACGTGACACCATGTTCACAATCATCAGCCCCCCTGGGGGCAGACAAGAACTCACCCTTCTAGTTTAAATCACTGGAAGAGACCAAATGAGCTCTGTGGGAGCGAGGGCTGGACAGTTTGACCCTGGAGATACTTGAAGGATCAGCTGTGCCCTGGTCCTGGTCCTACACGTGATGCTGCATCCCCTAATCACCATGCTGTCTGCTATTCTGGGGCATCATTTTTTCTTTGGGGGAACACTCCCCAGGGTTCTTTGTACAGATATAAAAGATGGGCCAAGCTTGAAATTCTCAAGAAGCACTGCATATGGGAAAAGATCTGTCCAGCCAGCATTACCTGCTGTAAACCTTGGGCAAGGTTCCAAAATGCCACGTGGTCAAAACACTATGCAGAAGCTGTAAGACGGGAACTCAGCAAGGCAATGCTGGGACATACAAATGCAACAATAAAATAAGCATTAAGCACCTTGTAGTAGTGAAATAGGCCAATAACAGCAATCCCAGCACTGGCAGGGTCTTCAAGAAGCATCAAGCACTGAGCAGGCTATGCTCCTGCCTCACAAATATAAACATACTGCTGAAGTCTTGCCAGTCTCTGACAGAGCTACCACA